ACCATTAGTGAAAAGGCCAGACTTCAGGGGTATCTGAGGCAGGCTTGAAACACAAGAGTCAGGGTGGCTTCTGGGTAATACCAGATGGCTAGGCCTCAGACTGACGAAGCCTCTTGGATGAGGGGCGAAACGTTTCTTTTTAACAAAAAAAACGAAGTCCAGATGACATGATTCAACCTTTTTTGTTGTTGAAAAACAGCTGAAATGAGTTAAAAACATACTGAAATGTAGCTGAAATTGAAGAACAAGCCTAAGCAAAAGGAAATAACACATATTTGCTCAATTAGATTTAAATAAGCAGAAATGATTATTAAAAATATGCAACAAGCTTAAAAAAGCTGAAATTAGCAAAAAATTGCTGAAAAGTAGCAGAAAAGTCAGAAAAAAGCTGAAACTACCAGGAGGAAGTGGAAGGAGCTGAAATGAGCTAAAAAAAATAAAAAAGTGGAATTAGTTGAAAAAGCTAAATTTAGTACAAAACAGCTAAAAAGTAGCTGAAATAGCAGAAAAAGCTGAAACTAGCAGAGAAAAACTGAAAGGAGCTGAAATTAGCACAAAAAGGTTAATTAGGCTGAAAGTAGCAGAAATTACCAAAAATTACATGAATTTGTCTGAAAACAGCTGAAATTAGCTGAAAAATTGTAAAAAAAAAAAATAAAAGTAGCTGAAAATGTAGAACAAGCTTAATGCAAAAGAAAGTTGAAAAACATGTTTACCAATTAGACTAAAAGAAGCAGAAATGAGCACTAAAAAGTGGATATTATCTGAAATAAACTGAAATTAGCATGAAAAGTAGCTAAAATTTTCTAAAAGATGCTTAAATTTCCAGAAGGAAATGAAGAGAGAACATTTTTGCTGAATTAGGCTGAAAAAAGTTGAAATGAGTGCAAAAAAAAAAATGTGGAATTAGCTGAAAAAGTTAAAATGGAATAAAAACAGCTAAATAGTAGCTGAAATGGCAGAAAAAGCTTGCAGGAATAAGGTGAAAGGAGCATAACAAGCTGAAATGAGCAGAAATGAGTCAGAAGAAGCACAAAAATGTTGTAGTTAGCAGAAAGAATCAGAAAAAAGAACTGCTGAAATTAGCCGAAAGTAGCTGAACAAGTTTTAAGTTTGCACAATGAAACTGAAAGAAGCTGAACCAGAACAAAATGTGAAAGGAGCAGTAAAAGGTTGTAAACAGATCTAAAGATCTGAAGGATGTAAAATGAGCTCAATTAATTTTATATGAAATAAAAGTGGCAGAAGAGACTAATTTTTTTTTTTTTAAAAGCTAAAGTTGCACCAATACCAAAAGCCATAGCCCCCTTCTCCCGAACGAGCTGAATGTTTTGATTTATGATTTGTTGAAATAGCACAGAAACTGTGAAAAGAGAAATATGCTGAAAAACATAAGGAAGAAAAATGGATCACAATAGAGTGAATGTTTCATAAACACTCACACAGTCGTATAAAACGATAGAATTTGAAACAACTCTGTCTTAAAATAATACTTTATTAAAGGCATTTTCACTTTTGGTGTGAAATAAAAAGTCAGGTCCAGGGTATCTGCAATGCAGCCAATATTGTCAACCTGTTAGTTTTTTCTCTATATTTTCACATGTTGTGTGTAGATGTTAAAGGAATAATCTCATCATTTTAAGTGATATTTTGTCAAATAGTACCTTTTCAGCTGTAATGGAGTATGAATAAAAGGGTAACCAAACAAAAGCCAGTTTTATGTTTGTTTTTCAGACTTATGAAGCAGCTATTTCTCAAAAATGACATATGTGTCTTGACAGAGTCGTTTCACAAGACTTAAAAACGATATGAAACGAGCCCTCTTTTGGCCAGTTATTACCCAATAAAGGATAAAGACTTGTGTCTTTTCTCCATCTGTGCTCTTTGATGCCACAGCTGATAAAGTACAAACTATGGGTGTCTGCTTGACACATCATTTAAAAAAAATGGCTAGACTACCACTTTGACATTTCTGCTGATTCTGCACATTTGCAGGTTTACACCTCCACCATCCCAGAAGATCAGGTTCAGGTCTTGGGCCCAGCGTCCCGTGTTGCTACTCTCAGTGACATCAGCCTGTGGAATATCACTCAGCTCGACACGCTCGCTGCTTTGATGGTCTCAGCAAACGGAGCGTGGGACCCCAGCTTGGTGAGCAAACATGATGTGTTGCGCTTGTGTGCGTATTTTGAAATGGCATTTGCTCCAATCAGTGCATGTTTCTCCTCTAGGCTAAAGCCATCATCTCCAAGTACCTGAGTGTGAAAGGAAACAGTCTTGGCAGCGCAGAGCTTAACGCCATTGGGGGACCAAATCTGTGCAGCTTGGATGTTGATGTTCTGGGGAATATTTCTTCGCAAAGCTTAAAGTAAGACGTTATTTATCATAGGCCCTTTGGAATGATTTGTTTGTGTTCATTTTACTTGATTAGTTTGGGGTTAGGATTATGATTTGAGTTAGCAGCTTATCTTTGTGTAGTAATTAATTAATTAATTGTTTATTGACTGTTTTTTTTTTAACTCTTGTGTTATACTTTTTTCATCTTCTCAGAGATGCAAACGCCTTGGATGTGTCCAACTGCACCACAGACAAATCTGAAAAACTGTTCAACATTTCCATCCAAGCGTTTGTCACCAGCCGCCTGAGTACCATCCCAGTTTCCACATACCAGCTCCAAAAAGCATACATTGGTAGGCTGACTGCCCCCACCCCCCACCCCCCCCAGCTGAAAGCCTCTTTTAAACAGTGCCAAGAAACTCACTGTTCATTCCCTTTTTGTCCTGCAGGTGGTGCAACTGCTGACTACGTCAAGAGTTTGGTGATCTCCAATGTCAACATGGATTTGGCCACTTTCACTGGAATAAACCGAAGCATTATACAAGTAAGTGTTGTGTATATCAGTGACTTGTGAAACTTCTACTTCATCTTTCTTTTCTCCCTATTTTGTGTATTTGTGCATTAGTATTAATAAAATGGACATGCTTGGCTTTCTTTAGGGTCTGACTGTTGATGACGTTAAAAATCTTCTTGGCACTAACCTGCCAGACTTGAAGGCATACGAAAACCAACCGGTGGTGCAGAGTTGGATCACCAGTCAGTTTCAGTCAGACCTTAATAGACTGGGAATAGATCTTTCAGGAGGCAAGGCTGGCAATGCAACTTCCACCAGCAATACGACGTCATCCTCAGCCTCCAACGCTACAACGACCACAGCTCCTGCCAGCAATGGGTCTGCAACAGCCATGCCTGCAGTCACCACTTCAACTACAAATACATCCACAACTTCTACTACAACTTCTACTACAACTTCTACTACAACTTCTACCACAGCTTCCACCAAAACTACCACAGCTTCCACCACAGCTACTACTAAATCTTCTACCACAGTTTCTACCACTAAAAGTAAGTCCTAAAAAGCAATGTCGTCCTTCATCCAAAAGACTTCATCGGTCTGAGGAGCCACAACAAACTCGGTCCCACAAGCAGCACACTAGTGTACCAACCAGTTTGATGGTGATAAGATGTTTTCTGGGGCCCTCCCTCTCCTCTGTTGACGTTTTGAACCACTTTGGCTATGGCTGCCTCAGAGGAGTCATTGAGGGTGTAGAGGTAGGTAGGTAGTCGGGACCAACAACACACCTTTTAACAGGTGTTTACCCTAACAGTTCAAAAGTTATTAAGAAATGTGGACCGACCTTGAAAAATTCTTGGCAATGTTGTGATTCCTCTCACTTGAATTAAAACACACAAAACCTGTGCCGCTTACGCCACAAAATTCTGTAACTTTTATTTTCAGTTTGAATAATGACAATATGGATTTTGTCAAATATGAAATTTAATTGAATAACCAATAGTGTTATTTCAGAAGGGTGAATAATATAAGAGCTTAAAACTTTGAGAAGAGATGTTGTTCACATTTAGGACTATTGTTAAAAAGGTAAACTTTGTCTTAGGTTTGTAACCAACTTGAAAGCGTCTAAAACTAGTTGGCACTAAGAGCCGTTCCCTTTCATCAAGAGGAAGATGGTTCCAGGAAGAACGTCCTCATTACCACACGCCGTCCTTCTTCAGGACCGTATTTCATTCGGCCAAGCTGTGCTTACATCACTCTGGGGTGTTTGAGGGAGTTCTGTGGACTTTCTCTATTGCAGCTGGCTCGGTCCCGTCTGAGATGGGGAGGACTGGGGTGGGGGGAGCCTGGCTTGCAGTAGCTCCAAGCCAACTTTAGGAAAACAACAAGACTCCCAATCTCCTCCCCCTGCATTTCAGTTTTACCTGATTCTAATTGGGGGTGGGGTTTGTATAAATTGTATCCTATCAATGCAACTCTGACCAGCAAAATGGGCGTTAACTGAGTCGCATGAATTAATTTTGATCATAACTCCTCCTCTCAAAGTTTAGAAGGAAACAAAGACTTTGCTTTGTTTACACAATAACATCAATTCTTCACAGATGTACATTTGGGTTCTTCACACAATACAGATAAAGAGGTGGTCTGTTTGAGGCTCTGTTTAATTGACCAACTTCCTTCTCTGGCGTGGTGGTCACACAGTACTGTTTTAAGACCATCGTTCTCCAGGGACCTTGTGAATTATCATACCATCCTGTGACCAGAATGTTACTACAGAAACGAACCCTCCAGGTGTCCTTAGGGAATGGTAAAGTTCTGTCTTTTGTTGAATCTAGATTGTAAAGGTGTCGCCTTGTCTGAGACAGGAACTGAGAGTTGATTAACTTGCAGAAAGTACCAGAACTTTCTTTTTGATAGACTTTTTGAAGACACAAAGTCTATCTTTCTCAGGAAGGAGGGATTAGCACAGAGGGGGTGGAAGAGTTCAGTTACATATAGTCCAGTGTCTCTGAAGACAGGATGTGCTGAATCATCCTGACTCATCCTTATGAATCACAGAACACTACAGGAGAGAGGGCGGGTCCGGCAAACCATCTTATCGCCAGCAAACTGGTTGGTCCACTATGTGAGTGTGCTGCTTGTGGGACTGAGTTTGTTCTGGCTCCTTGGACTGATGAAGTCCTTTGGATGAAGGACGAAATGTCTCAAAAAACAAAAGAAAAAAAAAGTCCAGATGATCTGACTGAGCTTGTTGGATTTTTTTTTTTTTAACCTGGATTATTGAGCATGACTTTTTGATATAAAGATGTCAGCTTGCTTTGTGAAAGGATAAAGAATAACTGAGGACGAGGAAAAGGCATTTTAAATCTTGAATGTTTTAAACATCGTTGTTGAACCTGGTCACAGTGCTGTGGAGTCATTTATGATTAGTCTCCACTGTCACTTGGCTAAAAGTTCTTAACTCAAAAAGAGGGAGTTTAGATCTTTTCAAGTTGGATTCTGTGGAAAGGTTATAGATCTGATGTAGACAACTCTGAACAACCTCAGTTTGGAGAAATAAAGTTTAATTCTGACCACATTGATGAGCTAACAGCTGATCCAAATGGGGTCAAACCAATGCGTACTGCTGCCATCTTAAAACATCTCTGGTTTCCTAAATTTTGATGACTTTAACGACTCGTGTGAAGACGAACAACTAACAAACGTCCAGTATTTAAAAAAATCATGCATGAAATCTATTTTATAAATCGTGTTTTAAGATGGCAGCAATCCACTTTTCTCTTGGCTGTTATATTGTTCAACCTGACAAAGTCAAACTCTGTTCCTCCAAACTGAGGCTGGTTCAAAGAGCCATCTACAACAGGTGAGATATTAATTATCCATAACCTTCCTCCTGAACCCCACTTCAAAAGATCTGAAGTGCTGCTTTAACAAAACAACAGTCTCAAGTCTGGTGTAAACTAAAATCTCACACAATGTGGAAAATGTTACAGATAGAATATAAAAACAAGTTCAAACATCTATAAATGACTTTTTTTTGCTTTTATTCAGCGTTGACCGTTAGTGGTACCAGTCCCTAAACTGTGCATCTGTTTCTGTTTTAGGTGCCGGAGCCCGCATCCAAGCTGACGTTGGCTTCTCTCTTCTCGTTCTCATCGCACTCCTCATCTCTTCTCAGCAGAATATAATGTGATGAAACAAAAGCCTATTTATCCTCCACTGGAGGATAAAATCAGTCAAATAATAACAGGGTGAAATGATGTTATTTATGGATTACTGAAGGAAATTATGGTGAAGATCTTTTGAAGGAAATGTTTCATTTGCAGTAACTAAACAATATGTAAATATTGTGTTCTTACGTGTGCAATCCTTTGGTTTAACCTCGGCATATTTGCTTTTAAGATCAAAATTATTACGTGTTACTATTTACTTTTTCATGTTATGTTTGTAAATTAAGACAAACGTTCATTTCTAGAGCTGATTTTTGAGTAGTAATTAAGACATAAAGCATCATTATTACCAAGCTCCTAGAGCTTTTATAAATAAAACGTTTTTATTGACAGAACATGTATGGAAAACAGTAGAAAATCAGTTTTAAATAAAGTGTTTGCCATATTTTACCTCATAAATTGAACATCTGTGCTTGTTTAATATGAAACTTGGTTATTGTAACATCAAACTCTATATATGACCAAAAGAGGACAAAACGCATCAGCACTTCTTTAAAGTTGTGTTTCTGCTGTATTTGTTTGGTGAAATTGTTATAAGATTGCACTTTTTTGAAGCACACTTACCTTTTTTTCATTTTCATTTACCCTTTATTTATACAGGTAGTCTCATTGAGCCACGAGAACTCATTTTCAAGAGAGACCTGTTTTAGGGAGCAGATGGTGGAGGTTGAGGGCCTTGCTCAGGGGCCCAGGGTGGGGCGAATGGGGGTGGGTGTTTCACCTTTTCCTCCCACATTTTGATGTTGACGGTACTGGGAGGTGAACCTGCGACTTTCCCATCACAAGTCCATCTTCTAACCGCTGCGCCACCACTCCCCCACCTTAAAAATGCTTTATGTGATTAGCAACAAATAAAAACTGAAAACCATTCATTGGTCTTAGTTGATTTATATTCAAAGAAGGGAATAGTTAAAGGATTTTAAGGCTTCATTGATTCACTAACAAAAAAATAAATAAAAGTTTTATTAAAAAAAAAACATTTATTATTTCAGACAGATTTTGTCAACATAATAGCCAAAAAAAAAATTTTACTCTAAAGGTGCTACCTGATTAAAATAGCGCAGTGGAATATAAAATAGTTGCAGGCTAACTTAATTCAGGATAATATAATGTAATTGTTGCAGCTGCAGTATTGCTTAGAAGCGTTTATACACTCCAAGAACAGTCTTGCAGGTAGGACAGATGTGCTCGGCATCTTTCAGACGATCCACACAGAACGGGATGAGGCAGCAACCTAAAACGAAGCTGGAGAGGGAAGTAGATTCTGTCATAATCACCAACTCGCCTAAATACACACAAAAACAAAACACGATATCCTTCTTTAGTTCCCATTAAACAAACAACGTGGTAAAGCTAGCTGTTGACATAAACTTCCACATTTAAGGAGATTTCATGTATTTATGGAACTGTTTACAGACAGTGACATGCAGAAGTGATCCTACACCCCTGCAGTGATGTCCAGATCAGAACCACATCTGTTTTTAATGCAGCACTGCCAGAGGACCTGAAATCACAGCATCTAACTTAGACTTTCAACCTTGTTTTTTTTTTCCTGCTGATTCTGAGGTTTCTCCAGATTCTTGACATATTTTGATGACATCATGAACTGTAGATGATGAGATATCCAAAGTCTCCCAGCTTTTTGGAGACGTTTTTCACAGACTGATGAACCTCTGCCCATCTTTACTTCTAGAGATTCAGCCTCTTTAAAATACCCACCTGCTGCTACCCACGTATTTTGTTAAAACATACGCTACCGCTGCTTCTTATTTGCATCACTTAACAGCATTTTGTTACCCCCATACGAACTTTTTTGAAATGAGATGCTGCCATAAAATTCAAAACTATCCTATTCTGTCCTAAAAATTGTACAAGTTATTATTTTAAACATTTAAGCTGTTCAATGCTCCATTATGAATAAAATGTGAGATTTGCAAATCACTGCATTCTGTTTTTATTTACATTTTATGCGTTGTCTAAGCTTTTATTGGAACTGGAGTTGTACAAATGTGCATCTTTTCTGCAAGGTAAAGTGTTATGCATAAAGCAGGGGTTGAAGTGGTGTAGAGGTAGGGCAGCCAACTTAGGACCATAAAGTCGCAGGCTCAACTCCCTGCCATGCCCACATGTCGTGGTGTCCTTGAGCAAGACACCTAATCCCCAACTGCTCTCTGGGTGCCCACATAGCTGCCCACCACTGCACCTGGGTGTATCTCACATGTGATGGGTTAAATGCAGAGAACTAAGTTCATCATTGTATTTGAACATACGTCGTGATCTCCGTGCCCTTAAACGTCACTGCACCTCAAACAGGAATGCCATTGTCAAGGAAATAACAGAATGGGCTCAGGAATACTTCCAGAAAGCATTGGCAGTGAACACAATCCACTGTGCCATCCGCCGTTGCCAGCTGAAACTCTACAGTGCAAAGAGGAAGCCATTTCTAAGCAAGCTCCACAAGCTCAGACGTTTGCACTGGGCCAGGGGTCATTTAAAATAGAGTGTAGCAAAATGGAAGACTGTTCTGTGGTCAGATAAGTCACGATTTGAAGTTCTTTATGGAACACTGGAACACCATGTCATCCGGACCAGAGAGGACAAGGATAGCCCAAGTTGTTATCAACGCTCCGTTCAGAAGCCTGCATCACTGATGGTATGGGGTTGCATGAGCGCTTGTGGCATGGGCAGCTTGCATGTCTGGAAAGGCACCATTAATGCAGAGAACTATGTTCAGGTTCTAGAACAACATATGCTCCCATCTAGACGTCATCTCTTTCAGGGAAGACCCTGCATTTTTCAACACGATAATGCCAGACCACATTCTGCAGCAATCACAACATCATGGCTACGTAGGAGAAGGATCCGGGTACTGAAATGGCCAGCCTGCAGTCCAGATCTTTCACCTATAGAGAACATTTGGTGCATCATAAAGAGGAAGGTGTGACAAAGAAGGTCCAAGACGATTGAACAGTTAGAGGCCTGTTTTAGACATGAATGGGAGAGCATTCCTATTTCTAAACTTGAGAAACTGGTCTCCTCTGTCCCCAGACATCTGTTGAGTGTTGTAAGAAGAAGGGGGGATGCCACACAGTGGTAAAAATGGACTTGTCTCAACTTTTTTGAGATTTATTGACACCATGAAATTTAAAATTATACATTCTCTCAGTTTAAACTTTTGATCTGTGATTTGTGTTCTATTCTGAATAAATATTAGATGTTGGCACCTCCACATCATTGCATTCAGTTTTTATTCACAATTTGTTTAGTGTCCCAACTTTTTTGGAATCCGGTTTGTACAACGTGTGATGCGAATGACAAAGAACCTTGAAATGCAGCTGCCAGGAAAAAGACAAAGAGGAGATGTATGTATGCAGTTACAGAGAACATGGAGATAGTTGGAGTGAGGACAGAGGATGCAGATGACAGCGTGAGATGGAGGAGGATGACTCATTGTGGAGACCCCTGAAGAGGGAAAAGCCGAAAAGCCGAAAGAAGAGTAGTCCAGGACAATTCCTCAGTGATGTGAACACCAAGGAACTTGAAGCTGCTGTCCTGCTCGACCTCAGCATCTAATCTTTTCTTTATATTGTACATAATAAAACTAGATAAGTTTGTTTTCTGAATGTGTTGCATTTTTTTTTCATCTAGGACTTTGAGCATTTTTATTAAGATCCATCTGCTAGTTTATAAGATATTTTGAGAACAGACAGGGTTGATGCTATCAGTGCTTGCCAAAGTTTCAAACAACAATATCGCACAACGTGTAGTGCTCAGAGGATGTGTTGGGGACAATGCTCAACTACTGCCACATCAAGTCTTAGCTCATTATCTGTAAAAGTGGCAGAGTTGTGTCATTTTTTGTGTTTGACAAGGTTGTTTACCTGTGGCAGTCATCTTGAAATTGACCGACTCTAAAAAGTTCATCAGTGGTTGATGTTCAACCAACAGTTACTTTAAGTTTCACAAAATCATCCAGTGGGTAATGTGATATTTTGCTAACAGTACAAACACACGCAGACAAACACGTCTTGTGATAATACACTCCACAATGAAGCAAAACAACCCAGTGAGAAAGATTCAAAGATTTCTTTTTTAATCAGTAAAAACCGGTGCAATACTTCACATGTAAACTTCTGCAGCATCTCAACCCTAATACCTGAATAGTCACAGAAATATTTTAGAGACAAATGCTCATGTAGAAACTAGATCAGTGTAACAAACCCATTATAACCCCTTCATAAAAGAATAAAAATCAAATGTTCAAGTGCTCTTATGCTCATTATAAAATAACAGAAAAAAAAAATCAGGCATCACTTTTCAGCTGCATTAGTTGCCCTTTATCTCATCAATTTCATAACATTGCTGGAAAAATATTTGTATGGTTAATTTTATAACATTTGATCAAATTCTTGGGACAATTTAGGCAATTATAAAAAAAGCCGGTGCAGACCGTCACCACGAAAAGGGGGAAATCAGATTAAGCTTCAATGTATTCATTTATTAATTATAGTAAATTAAAGAGTTTCCAATGTACCTGAAAAGAACAATCGAAATTGATTTCTCACAAGTTGGCTGAAACCCACAGCAGCTTCAAAACAAACTGATTTTATTATAAAATAAGGGCATATATTTGACTCCTGGATGAGAGCAGATGTGATGTTTAATAATAATAATAAAAATAAATAAAAAAGACCCAGGTCCTTCATTCACTACTGCAAAGGGGTGAAAAACACTCAAATTAAATTTTGTTCCACAGTTCTTCCGTATTTAAATAATTCAAATTAAAAGTTAAATTCCTTGGCAATTTCTCCTTGAAGAATTTAGAGCGCTTGGCTTCTAAATCAGTTTGAAGTTACCATGAGTAAAACAGGAAACTCGGGAAAAGAAACACGACTTATGGCACACGTTTTAACGATTGCAGTCTTTGTAAATTATCAGTAGACTTGTACTAAATAATAATAATAATAATCAGTGCTGACAAATGGAATAAACAAAAGTTCTGTCGGCTTTATATTTTGTCCATTTTGGTAGTGGTGGACTTTGATGTTGGCGTTCTGAAGCCGCCTTTATCCTGAAAAAGACGTGACCTCTGCAGACGCAGAATATCAAACGGAACAGGTCTTACTGAATTTTCTAACTAGTGTATCCATGAGGGATGAGGATTAAAGCACTTTATAGTATTCCTTCTGTGTGAATTATCCTCTTTTGTGCATTTGAGTCCCGACTCACCAACCAGCACGTTCTCCTGTTCTTTCTGGAGGATTATCATCCTTGGATTTTCATGTCTAACTGCAGCGTTTGTTTCTCCTCCTCTAATTCACTCCTTTTATTTCCAGGTGCCGTTTCCTTTCGTCTCCATGTCTCTGCAAGCTCGGACTCATGAAGCCGCACGGCCTCTTATCTGTTCCGCCTCTGTCCTGTAGCCCTCGGCTTTCTCTCTAGCCTCTGTCCTGTCCTTCAGCGCCCTCAGCAGGACCCTGAGAAGAGCGTTCTCGCTCAGCAGACTTTCAGAAGTGTCCGCCAGCTCCTGCAGTCGCCTCAAAGCTTCGGCGAGCTGCTGGCTTTTCTCCTGGAGCTGCTTCTCCAAACTTTCCTCTACGCTGCGTTTGTCAAACTTCAGCTGTCGGTAATCCCGCCACAGCTGCGCCAGCTGTCGGGAGAGACGTTCGCGGGCGTGATGCAGAGTTCGAACTTCTTGCTGGACTGCCAGAAATTCCGAGTGGAGGATGGCGTCGGGTCCCGTCTCCCGCGCTTCAGCTGATGGTTTGTCCCCATGACGCAAGGAGCTAGAGTGCTGCAGGATGAAGCGGAGGAGGTTGGGCAACGTGATGGGAAGGTCAGCTGGAAACTTCACACTTAGATGCTTTCTAAAGGAGAACAAGGAAACACAAAAGTGACAACAGCACTGCAAATCATTCAGAGTTGTAATTATTTTAAGTTTATTTTTTTTAACCTGTATTACTAGTACGTGACGATAAGAGTTGATTTGTTTTTCCATTTGTTTGAGCAAATAAAAATATCCTGATTTGACAAAATGCTGATAAAGACCAAGTCAGAAAATACAATCTCCATTAGGCCTGTCACAATAACAAATTTTGCTGGGCAATTAATCGTCTCAGAAATTATTGCAATAAACGATAAAATTGTTTGAAATTTTACAATAATTAGCAATTAGTGTCAAATTTAAGAAGACATGTTGGTTAATTTGTTTTGTGTGCAGTACCTTTTTTGACCACCGGATGGCAGGAGGCCCCTTGATGTGACATGGGCCGACTCTTTCCTGTTTTTTAGTTTTCAAAATGGCAGACGCTCCGTGTGGTTTGAGCTCTTTAGCGTAGCATTTTTCACACAAAGCTTTTAATAAAAATAAATAAATAAATAAAAAATCAGTAAAAAAGTTCTCAGCTTCTTTTTGCAGAGAAATATAACTTTTTAGACAAAGGCACGAGTTTCAACCATGAATTTTGGAGCTTTGGCAAGACGGAGGTTTTTTCCCCGAGGTCGGCCTGTTAGCTTAGCTCATAGCTTAGCTGCTTTTAACGATCCAAAAACGTGATTTTGGACGATTAAAACAGATTTTAAAGAGAAAATAGAAAAGGGAGAAGTCAGTGAGGAGCCTTTTGTCATCCAGTGTCTTCAGTAAAAAGAGAGACACGAAGAAACGATAAAGCCGATAAATGAAAATGAGGTCGATAATTTTCATTTATCATGCGATTAATTGATTTATTGTTTATTGCGACAGGCCTGATCTCCATATGGTACATACAATTTTATCTACAGCAAACAATATCTGATTTTGAAGCAAAATGAATTACGAATTAAAAATAAATTCAGCATTTGAACTGATTATGTCATTGTCAAAAAATTTTAAACAAAATTATTAAAGTTGAAAGAGAAATTTTGTGTCTCTCTAAATCCTCTCACCTGTATCTGGGAAACAGGAGGATGGAAGGAACATGATCCACCATGAACTCCCAAGGGAGGTCGTTTCGGGCCACATTCACCCTGAAAACAGAACCGTGCAGTTACTTTATTTTAGTTTCTGTGAAAAAGAAGGGTCAGAGAACTGACATTGGCTAAGACCGTTCATTTCAACTCCACCAGAAACGAACGTGGATCAAACTGTACCTGGCCACAGAGATGCTGCTGTTTCCCTGGAGTAACCGGGCCAGCTGAATGAGGACGTGGTTCAGACCAGAGCAGAATCCACACCACTGAGTGTAGTAGAACAGCAGCACATCCTAAAAACACACAGATATAAAATCAACTTCTGCAGTGCAGCTGTGACAGATCAATGCCATCAATACGCTTTTTTGTGCCAAGTCAGCAATCACACCGCTGTTTTCCTGTATAAAGTTTGTTTCTTTCAAGTGTTTCAGTCAAACTACTTCAGGGGACTCACAGTCTTAGGGCAGGGTTTAAACAGTTTTACCATGGTGTGTATACAAAGAGAAATGAAGGAAGGTCCTGAAGGGGGAGTTGGCAAAGAATGTAGTAGAGATGAAAAGCGTGTCAGATAGGGTGATGTCTCTGAAGGTAGAACTAGAAGGTCTGATGTTAAATGTTGTCAGTAGTTACGCTTTACAAGTTGGATGATGTGGAGGAGAAACATACATTTTGGAAGGATCTGGATGAAGTGATAGAAAGTATTCCCAGGGAGGAGAGAGTGGTGATCGGAGCAGACCTGAATGGACATGTTGGTGAAGGAAACAGAGGGGATGAGGAAGTGATGGGTAGATTTGGTATCAAGGAAAGAAACCAGGAAGGACAGATGGTGGTGGATTTTGCCAAGAGAATGGAAATGGCTGTAGTCAACACTTGTTTCCAAAAGAGGGAGGAACATAGAGTGACCTTTAAGAGTGGAGGAAGGAGTATGCAGGTCAACTACATTCTGTGTAGAAGAGGAAACCTGAGGGAGATTGGAGACTGTGTAAAGGGGAGAGCTTGGCCGCACATCATCGGATGGTTGTGTATAGAATGACAGTTGTTGTGAAGAAGAGAGAGTAAAATCAGAGAAGAAGAGCAAATAGTGGAAGGTGAAGGAGGAAAAATGTTGTGAGGAGTTCAGAGAGGAGCTGTTAAATGTTCTGGGTTAGAAAGAGCTTCCAAATGACTGGACTACTACAGCAACAGTAATTAGAGAGACAGGTAGGAATGTAATGTGTGTGTCATCTGGACAGAGAATGGATGATAGGGAAACCTGGTGGTGGAATAGTGAAGTGCAGGATGCTGTTCAAAGAAAGAGGTTAACCAGGAATCAATATGACAGTGAGTATGACTGAGGAGACAGGAATATAAGGAGATGGGACGTAGAGCAAAGAGGGGGGTAGCTAAGGCAAAGCAGAAGGCATATGATGAGTTGTATCATGGGAGGCTGGACACTAAAGAGGGTGAGAAGGACTTGTACCGATTGGTGAGACAGAGGGATCAGGCTGGAAAGGATGTGCAGCAGGTTAGGTTTTTTAAAGATAGGAATGGTAATGTTCTAACAAATGAGAAGAGTGACGAGAAGATGGAAGGAGTATTTTGAGGAACTAATGAATGAAAATAATGAAAGAGAAAGAAGAGCAGGTCATAGAAACTGTGGGCGAGGAAGTGGGAAAGATTAGTGAGGGTGAAGTCCGAAAATCTCTGAAGAGAATGAAGAAGGGGAAGGCAGTAAGACCTGATGACATACCAGTGGAGGTTTGGTAATGTCTTGGAGAGATGGCAGTGAAGTTTTTGATTCAAATATTTAATGGCATATATGAGGGTGAGAAAATGCCTGACAAATGGAGAAGAAGAGTGCTGGTGGCCATTTTTAGGAACAAGAGTGATGTAAAGATTTGTAGATACAGGGGAATTAAGTTGATGAGCCACACGATGAAGATCTGTGAGAGAGTTGTGGAAGCAAGACTTAGACGAGAGGTGACTGTGAGCAGCAGTATGGTTTCATGCTGAGAAAGAGCACCACAGATGCCATATTTGCTTTGAGGATGCTGATGGAGAAGTACAGAGAGGGTCAGAAAGAACTCCATTGCGTCTTTTTAGATTTAGAACAAGCATACATTGGTGCTTGGAAATTTGTGAAACCTTTAGAATTTTCTATATTTCTGCATAAATATGACCATCATCAGATTTTCACACGAGCCCTAAAAGTAGATAAAGAAAACCCAGTTAAACAAATGAGACAAAATATTATACTTTGTCATTAATTTATTTAACTAGTTCTGTTTTTGGTCTTATGTTTATTTAAGCTTTTAGCTACGGTCTTGCAAATTTTAATTTTTGGCTACCATTTTGATACATTTAGCATTTACTAGTTTTCTATGGTTTTACTATTTTTATCTCTCAATTACAGTTTTGCTCATTTTATCTTTCAGATACGTTTTTGCCAATTTTTCTGATTCAACTAAAGTATTAGTGAATTTAGCCTTTAGCAACTGTTTGGCAAATATTAGCTTCTAGCTACGATTTAGCTAAATTTAGCTTCTACAATTTAGCTAAATTTAGTTTTGTTTTGCTTGTTTCAACTTTAACAATTCAGTTTCCGCTTCTTCACCCAAGTCATTCAGTAGTGAGCGTTCACGTTGCATTTTCACAGAAAATGCTCATTTTCTTTGTTAAAGCAACAGTTCATATCTTCTGAAGTAAAGTTCTGTATAATGGTTACAAACAACTCAAATCTTACCAGTTGTAGACAGCTTATTGAACGACCAGTTTGGTGAAACATTTTAATTCGGTCCACACAGACAAGTGAAGAACTAGGACAAGTGTGGCCAAAGCCAACATGAACTCATCATGGACGTGCACTCGATCACAAAAATGTCATGCTACCCTTTTCTTTTAAATTAGTCTTTTAATTACCATCAACTATATTTTAGGTGGGTATTCCTGCAGACATTTTCAGATATAATTGCCAGAAGTGTCACAGCTAGCTGTTGATGCTATTCGTGCATATAAAAACTGCTTTGCTGTTATTCTTTACTTACTTTGTATTCTGAAAGTTTCCAACAACAAACCAGAGGTTTAAAAAGATCATCTGACCAACTTTTGAGATTCAAAAATGTTCATTTTCAGATTAACAAAAAATAATATGGGTTCACTCACATTCTGAATTATTCACAAATTGCAGACAAATAATACTAACACTACTAATACTACTAATACCAATAATAATAATATATAATCTTTGGCAGACCAGAAACACAGAACCTAAATTCATAATGATTTTTTTTAATCACATGTAGAATTTTTAGGATCTCAAATATCTTCAGAAAAATCAGAAACAAAACTTAAAAACTGAGTTCACACTTTGTAGATTTAGAGGCCAGAAAGCATTTGTTTTAATCACCTTTTGATGGTCCATGATGGAGGGCAGGAAGGAGGAGGTGGTCAACTCGTTGATGAGGAGGCGGGGAGGAGACAGGGGATGTTCAGCTGGGTGCTTGATGTCTTCGTCATCCTTCTTCTTCTTCTCCTCCCCGACCAAATGTCTCTTTAGGAGGCTGTACGGGGCGCTGAAGTTCGTAATGAAGGCCTCTTCATTGTGACACAAAACATGAAAACAGCTCAAAATCACAGGTTTCGCTCAAACCGATGACACTTATACGACGTGATTAAGTGCATGTAAAAACAGGTACATGATGTTTGGATAAAAATGAAAAGAGCCTAAGTGGAAAGATATTTCACATGTGCTGTAAAGTATTTTAATAGTGTGAATGTTTATGAAGCATTCACATTATTGTGATCCATTTTTCTTCCGTACGTTTTCCGGTGCAATTCTCATTCTAAGTTCTAGAAGTACCTTTCTTTCACAGTTCAAACAAACTCACACTTATATGGTTGTTTCTTTACAAATGCACAATTACATCGTTTTGTATAAGAACTAACCCACAACGAGAAATAAAATCAAATGTACTAACAAGCTAAACTTCAAGAGCACTTCTAAACTAACTCTGTAGCTTTCATGGCGCTCTAATCTCTGACTGACACACTTGGTGGATAAATCATGGAAAGTAGAGTTATAAAGGAGCTCAGGAAAGGTTTTAAACTTATTTGAATCTATTAGTCTCACTCTTTAAACCCTTGCTTTGTGGGAGTCTCTTTAGTTTATACAAAAAATAAATCTAGATATTTGTTTAACCCTTACTGCGCAGTTGGAGCTAACAAGCACCTAAAAATATCACTGCCATAAGACGAGGAAGGGGTTGGAAGATTAAATTAAATTTTTACATGCTAAGACTTAGAAAGGAACAAATTATTATTGTTAAAGTCTGAAAGTAGCAGAAACTACATATGTGTTCCATCTTTGCTGTTTATAACAAGAAACGGCTACTGAAAATAATGCAGTGAAGTTACGCAACAGAAAAAAACAGAGTTGTCAATAAAAAAAGCTTAATTATTTAGTTAATGATTGGTAAGACTTACAGTTAAACTGTGAAGGTTAAAGTTAATTTTACTGAAATATTTCTGCAGACACTAATAAAAAGACTCCTTCAACCCTGATGTTTTAATATTTTCTTCAGGTAGGTGAAACCCGAGCTTACCCACTGCCCTGGGAGTGACAAACAGAACCAAGTGAGATGTCGAAAACAAACCTTACCCAGAGACTCTGTCAGCGTGGCTGCTGGGCTGCGATGAAGAACATAATGAACCTCGTCCTTCAGGTTCACAATAGTTGCAAATGACCCATCGCTGCTCCCATCAGCCTGTGATGAAGACTCCTGATGCGTAGAAGCGTTTCGGATGCTTGATGCTCCGAGCCTCACTGCCAGAGGCCAGTTCAGAGCAATGTCCAGCACGTAAAACCTGAGCGTCCTGTTAGTCTGACAGCTTAGACCTGTGATGCCATCTCCCTCCTGCCGAGGAGCATAAGGAGGAGAAGGTGGGAGAGCTCTTTGCATGTATGGCTCTTCTTTGGCTTGTGATTCACTGAATTGAGGTTCTGCTTTTTTGCAGCAGGCACTGAATAGAGTAAATGGACTGTAGCTGTTCAGGAAACTGCTACAGCCCGCTGAGGTTGCAGCGTTTGTAGAGGCGGAAGAAGGTAGTCGGTGGAGACAGCAGTGTTTTATATTAGTCTGAAACATGTCTCCTCCCTGTGTGATGGAGGGAAATAAGCAGCGAATGGAGGAGGCAGGGAGGCTGGGTCCAGACACATTGAGGCACACCTCACACACCTCTGCAGTCGACTCTGGGAGAACAACTGACTGGCAGCACATGGAGTGAGAGACGAAAGCGTAGTCCGAGCTGGAGCGGTCACAGGAATGATAACGCAGGGCAATGTCTGCAACCTAAAAGACAAACAAGGCAAAAATAAATACTACTACAAAACTTTACATGTGCAAAATTTGAAGCCGACATGAGTTGTCATTAAGTGAAAATTGTGGCCATGTTTCAGGCTAGTTCAAATTACACTTTAAAAATGAATTGGAAAAAAAATGATAAAATAAAAAGCATTCAATTATAGATTGTAAAATACAGTAAGGATCAAGCAGACACACTTCTTGAATTTTGCTGAGATTCTTTTTCAAATTATACAAAATCAAATGAAAGATGAGACTAGTAAAAAATATAGAAGGCCAAGCAAAACAAAAGCAGTAAAATAGAAACATGGATACCTTCTATTGGGGTATTAAAGAGCTGAATATTTCTAATATCTAACCTCTAAGTGGGAATAAAAAAAAACATTTTAAAATGTAAACGTTTTTTGATTATTTCAGATGCGTTTATAACACATCAACCCAGATTTACAACAAAGTGACTAAATTATTTATGATCTTACTGGGGGTGTATGAAGGGAAACATGAGCTCTTCTTAAATATTTGAGGAGGCAGATATTAAAAAAATTCCAAACTGAAGTTATGAAACATGATGTTTTGGGTGAAGAAACAAAAAAAAAAGTATTTGCAAACAATGCTTTATAATATAAATGAAACATACAAAAAAAGGGGACCAACAACTGAGCCTTGTGGCACACCACGACTGATAGAGCATGAAGCATCATTAGCACCGAAAGAAAGCAAGTTTTATCTCTTTTCTAATGTGACCATTTTGACTAATTACCTGCTGTAGTATGGAGTTTGGTTTAGAGCCCAGTGGATTGTGTGGCACAAACATCAGGAGAGCCGGGCCTTTAATCAACTCCTGCTCCAGCAGATACGACTTTGTTTCAGGGGGCTGGAGCCACTGAAGGACGGTCTCATGGTGTTCAAACACCCAGCTACAGATGGCATTTGATGTGAAGTTTCGCTCCTTTCTAGGAAAGATCTGACGAAGAAGGGAAGCGTGATACTAACAGGAAGTGTACTCCGCATTTTGATTTTGTGTGTTTAAATACAATCTACCATAAACTGCTGACAGTGCATACCAAGGAGGAGTTAAATCTTCTGTACAGGTAAATGGTTTCATCCGCTCTAACTGAAATAGTTTCTGCCACTTGCTTGCTAGTCACAATTCCAAAGCGCACAACTCCACGAAAATCTGCATTACAGACAAAACAAACTTAAAAAAAAAAGGCCAACGACTTATTTTTCTGTCATTAATCAGCAGATTTGTGATCATTAAATAAACTAATATGAATTTAAAAATAAAGGCTTAAACAAAATGGTCACTTCTTACCCCTTCTAAGGGCCTGCAGGGCAGAGGATAGATATGTGATGTACCCCGGTGGCTGTGGAGAGGAATTAAACTGGAAGAAACCCACCACACGAGGCTGGAAAACCGAAAGAGATGGTTACAAAAATAAAGAAGGGTTGGGTTTTTTTCTAAGAAGCAACACAACTAAAGATGGAGAATCTATGACTGATCAAATGACAAATAAAAATAAACATTTATTCTTTAAAGACAATGAATAATAATCTGAATGCTGATTCAGCATTCACATTGTTTTTTGTTGATAGTTTTTCATGCATTTTTCTTGTTTAGTCTGTTGTTCACGTATCAAAACATTTGTCTTGACTGGTAATAGAGAGCTATGGAACTTGCAACTTGGATACTTTTTAGAATACTTCACACTTTTTCTCATAAAAATAGTTCATTCTTTGTTCTCTTAACTCTACTTCAACATATTTGCTCTAGTTTGGCCTTCTTATGCTCATTTTAGCATTTAGCTACAATTTTTTAACTACGGTTTTGCTATTTTTAGCTTCTGTTCTGCTCGTTTTAAATAACAATGCAGTTTTTGCTTCGTCAGTAAATTACAGAAAACTCATTAATTTCTCGAGTCGCAAATTGCATTTTAAAAACTTAAGATTCGATAGTAAGCACACACTAAGAAAATAAACAAGTATTCTTTGGTGAAATGCATATTGCCAATTTTTTTATATAAAAGGATTCAAGGATTCAAGGTTCTTTGTCGTACGCATGTGGTACATGTGGTGGAACAAAACGGTACACACAGGGTCCCAGTTCAACAAAAGTATAAAATGTAAAAGAAAAACAGTAATAAGAATAAGATCTAAAGATATGAACTAAGAAAAACCTTAAATTAAAAATACACTAAGCACTAGTACCATAAAAATAATTTAAAAAAACACAATACGCTGAACAGCAGAAGATAAAGATCCCTCATGTGCAGAGTATGTGCTAGGGATGACTCTCAGCTACTATCACGCTCAATTCTAGCTCTAAATATGACAGATTTTTAGCTGATTATTGTCATCATTTTTCCTATGGCTGAATTACTTTGGTGGCCATTTTAAATCAGGTTAATCAGCTGTAGATGTACAACCATTACTTTTCAGTTTCTTTAACATTTGTCCAGTGGTTCATGGGATATTTTGTTAGCAGAAATATGACCCCCCCCCCCCCCCCCACACACACACACACACACACACACACACACACACACACACAACTTATAATCATTTACTCTGTCAAACCTTCATCTTGTGATACAAAGTGAGATCATACCTCATGACATGAGAGGAACTCGTCAAGGTGCGCTCTCGATGGGAGGTACGTCAGAGGTGTGATGACTCTCAGGATAAAACTTTCTATGTATGAAGCCACAAGTGGACCTTTGTACTCTATTGGCCCAAACCTGCAGAATAACAAACAAAAAGCAAATAATAAAACCAAGCAGGAATATAAAAAAGGTGTTTATAACTTGTTTAACTAGACCAAATGTTCAGGAAAGCAGGAAAAGCACATAACAGAGTAAAAGACATTTAATAAATGCATGATAACTACGTAAGATCTGTAAAAGATGTAACACAAAATGAGTAAGCCAGGATAAATCATAAAAATAAATTATAAAATAAAAATACTTCAAAGTACAATCACAAAACCTTTGCCTATACACAGATTTGAGTTGTAAAAAAGTTTTAAAAAAATTTAACAAATTCAGGTTTGAATCATTTTAAACAGTTTTGAGTGAGTCTTTGAAAAGTGAACATATTTAAATTCCATTTACCACCACCCCACCCAACCCCCCACCTCAAACACACACCCACACAAAAATCAGTCCAAACTCTAGAAACCAACACAAACTAGTCCTGAATACACAAAAAATAACCTAAGCTTCTTTTTAAAAAAAAGTTTGAATCAGTATATGGAGGAAGCAGAACACATTTCTGTTTTTTTTTTATTGAAACAATTATAGGATTATACACAAGTAAAATGCTATCAGCAAAAATCCATAAATATTCTTAAATTTTAACATGAAAGCCACAATAACGCTCACGCACACGTGAGAAATGGTATTTTCAAAAAGCTGGTGAATATTCTCAGTCATCCAGGACATGTTAAATCCAAACAAGATTAAAAGCAAAAACAACTGGACTTCTGTTCTGTAGCTGAAGATGTTTCGCTTCTCATACGAGGAGCTTTCTCAATTCAAAGAAACAAGGAGTGTGGGACTCCAAGTTATAAAGCTTAGATGTTCTGTAAGCTTACATATTGCAGTATTTTTATTGCAGTACTTTCAAAAGTAGGAGCTGCCAGAATCTGTGTGATATGTAGTCATGCATTTTGTTGCGTTTTAAATAACCGATGAGCTCTTCAAATTCAATTCAAATTTAAAAATACTTTATTAATCCCAAAGGGAAATTAAATGTTTTTGTAACTCGTCATCATAGTTTCATTAAGAGATGTTATAGATGCTGATGGCTGTAGGCAGGAAGGATCTCTTGTAAAGGTCTGTCCCACAGCGGATCGGAAGAAACTGGCTGCAGATGCTGTCCGATCCATCCACCCAGACTCTGCTGGCCTCTCAGTTCCCCTGGGCTGCAGGACCACCTGAATGCCGGGCTGAACTCCTCCCAGAGCGATGGCCACGCCTCCTAGCAGCATGCCGAGCTCCTTGTCACTGCGGAGACAGCCAGCTGCAGGTGCCGGGGGATGAGCCTGGTCCTTCTGTTGTCACAAGCCGTGTTTCCTGCTAGTTCCAGGATCTCAGTGGTCAGGCACGTCAACACAGCCAGCAGGGAGATGGGAATGCATCCACTGCACCTCCTTTTCAACTCATTTGAGATTTGGGGCTGTAGCTGAGATATTATTTGAGTTTTTGAGATGTTAATCATCCGTTCCCAGTTGTAAAAAAAAACAAACAAAAAAACTTGTTATGGTTACACATCATAACAAATGTACAAAACTAAAAAAGTTTTAGTAAAAATCCTTCCAGCTGCAGCATCCGATACCAGAGGAAACAATCATCCAAAAAAAGGTGATTTACATCCAGAAAAAAAGGAAATAAAGTTTTCAAAAGCAAAATCTCAGAATGAAAGTAACAGTACTACTAAAACATGCAGACACCCCGAGCGGAGCAATTCACTTCACTGCAGGAAGAAGGTATTTTACTGAAAATAAAGATGTTTAACATGCGTCTGATTCGTTTGTTTTAATTCACAAATATATTTTTGAAATGCCTTCATATCAAATGTGGACGTTTTAAAGACTTACTTTAAGCTTTGCTCTTCTTACCTGCTGTAGAACAGATGGGTGACGGGGTACTGAAAGAGGCGGTTCTGCTTCCTGCATTTCCCCTGACTCCACCAGCAGTTAACGGCCACAAACTGCACCTGTGTTGGGTGTGTGGGAAAGAGGCAGAAGGAAACGGAGATGAAACAAGCAAAACGAGACCAGATTACTGGGTCCAAACTTTGTTTCAAAGACCTCAGACCATCTGCCACATTTGATTCAAATATAGGCCTCTGGATTTTCTTTTTGTTTTTAATTTACATCTGCATTACCCGACGCTGCATTTTTTTTTTGGTTTAGTTAAAAGGTTTTTCAAATGATTTCTTTAAATTTATAATTTGATTTAAAATCCATTCTTAACTCAAGCTACAATAACTTTTCTCCATCCATCTGTTCATGGTCAGGTCTCAGGTATTTAGCTCTCCAGCAGAATTCCAGATGTTCCGACGCAGAATCCCTCCAGTGAGTTCTGGGTCTGTCCCAGTGGTGTAGTCTACATTTTTATACTGGGTATACTGTGCTTAGAAACCGAACTAGACCAGTTACTACAATGTAATCGTCAATTTATTTAGATTTTTAAGCATATTGAACATTTCAGAATTTCTCTGATGCTTATATTTGAATAAATGTACCTTTGTACAACAGTTGGTTTTGTATTAAAAACATGTTATAGAATTTATAAAACAGTATCAAAGCAAAACATATTCAAGTATTAAGTAATAAGTACAGAAGTATTAATTATAAAAAAAAAAAAAAACCCAGGTTGAACCAACTCAATGTGTCAATAAAATGTTCCAAATGTGTTGACAATGACACATGCCCATTGATATGTCACATACCATCGGGCACTTTTAAGAGGGTATACAGTAATTTCCAAGCTTTTCTAATGGGTATACTCCGTATACTCACGTATCACTGACTACACCCTCTGTCCCAAGGTCTCCTCACATGCCCAGAATACCTCCAGAGGGAGACACCCTGATCAGATGCCCCAACTACAACAGCTGTTCTACGTGGCGGAGCAGAAAGGTCTACTCTGAACGTCCTTCAGATGATGAAGCTCCTCTCTTCATCTCCAAGGCTCATCCTGATCACATTACAGAGGAAGCCCATTTTAGCTGCTTGCATCCTGGATCCTGTTCTCTCCATCATCGCTGGAGGGATTAAGCATCCTCTCTGGCCTGAGAGTGCTTCTGGATTCCCCAGGAGGAGATGGAGTGTTGTTGGGGAGAGGGGAGGCTGGGTTTCCCTCCTGGACCTGTTGCCTCCGCATCCAGAAATTCTTCTTTGTCTTTTGGCTGCTTCCTTGTCAGACAAATCATCTGCCTCCAAGTCCAGTGTCCACCAGCACCCTGCTGGTTAACAGCAGTGGTGGTTAGTTACCCTGGGCCTCAACCAGTCCAGTAAGGCAGTTGTAGATCATGTTAGCTTTGGCACACGTTCTACTCCAGATGTCTTTACCTTCCACAATTTAGCCAGGTACCAAAAGTACACAGAAAGTGACCTTCACGTCGTAACCTGACCACAGATAAGCAGCAGGAAATGACTGGACAGACAAGTGGGTGGATGTTTAATGTGTCCATGTAAAAACAAGCTCCTTTAGTCCAACAAAGTTCAGTCAGGTCATCTGGACGGTTTCTGGACTTTGTCTGATTTTTTTTACCTGAATTACTGAGCATGGACTTTGATGTTTTGAACCACTTTGGCTATGGCTGCCTCAGAGGAGTCGACAGGGGAGAGGGCGGGCCCCAGAAACCATCTTATCACCAGCAAACTGGTTGGTCCACTATGTGAGTGTACTGCCTGTGAGACTGAAGTCGTTACGACTCCTTGGACTGATGAAGTCCTTTGGATGCAAAAAAAAAAAGACACTGTCCAGATGACCTGACTGAACCATTGTTGGATTTTCTTCCTGGATTATTGAGCATGAACCTTGAAGCTTCTTTAGTGTTTGTCTGATAAAATTTTAGTAAAGAGATCAGTATTTGATACTGAAATAATCCCGTTGAGTGATTTTTGGAGTCGTTCTGTACCTGTTTAGCCAGCTTCTTGGCTACCTGCTGCACTTCTTGTCGAGCAGCCATGGAGTGGGCACACCACGGAGCGTAGAAGAAAATAAAAGACACCTCAGCCATGCTCCTGAGGCGCTCCACCTGAGCCAAAAAAAAAAAAAAAAAGTTGATCTTGTGATTTTTTTTGACTGTTAATTGATGTAGCTTTGGTTCTGATGTCAGAAATAATAGTTTGGGGAATAATAAAACAATGCAAAGCCATTAACCGTCAGGCTGAAGCTTTCTCTGCCATCTAAACTGATCTATGAAGTGATTTTCACTTATTACCTGATTGTTACACAGTAATGATCAGATCTATGCATTTTGGATTCTCACCTGGTCTAGTTGACCCAAGTAGAGATCCACTACCGGGGCCTCGGAAGAGAAGAACCGCACAGGAGGCCGAGCCGCCGCCACCACATCTTTAGCACGGCTACAGAGAGAAAAGACGTAAAGAATGACAAGAAATACATCAAACTGGTTAGAACCATCTAATCCATTAACTGGGTCTGAGCAAGTGTCATTATAATCTCGGTCAAACTCATCTTTGGTATTTTTATATATAACACGGGAACAAATTCATGTTTTTGAGGACAATTTTATAATTATGTGTAGATTAAACACCATTTCATTCCTTTGGCATTTTAAATGATTAATAGGTGTGTGTTAAAAGAAAGAAAAAAATATAAAAATAATATATATATATTCCAGTCAGATACAAATACTGAATTGAAAGTGTGAGAAATAAAGAAAGAAAACGGTCAGTTTTCAAAATCCAACAAAATGAGGTGTAGATTAAGATTAAGATTACCACATCTGCAATGAGCTGAATGTCAGCTAAAACATTAGATCAAGTCTTGTACAACACCAGATCTCGAACTGTATTAGCGCCAGAGATTTGTGTGTGTAACATGTAAGGATATGAAATGTACCGGTAGTCTTTACATGTACTTTTCCAATTTCTTCAGAAATAAGTCATTAAATTTCAGAAATAAGATGAAACGGTCTTGGCACAATTGAGCTACTTAAAAAAATAAATAAATAAAAACTAACCCCAAACATGATGATACAAAACCAGATCTGCTTGGAGGTAAATTGACTTTCATTTGCTTCAAGTTTCAGTTTTTCTGACAACATCCTGCTTGCTTTAATCCACAGGACCTTCAATTTGACTGCAGTTCAGGATATTGAAAAGCAGAAACTACAACCTGTTTACTTTGGATTAAAAAGGATGGTAGTGTATAAGAAAAACAGCCAAAGTAAACCTGTCCACTCCATTTTGCAGCTGCTTCTTTTCCTTTCCACACAATTTGGAGCAGATGGGTTTGAAAAGCCCAACATGCTTCAGTCAGGTTGCTTCATCCACAAATAAACATAAATCATAAACTAATTTATATATTTTTTAAAAGACAATAATCAGGCGTGAAGATGGTATCCATTTCAGTTGGCAAATCACATTAAATAACTCACTCAAAGGTTATAGATTAGCATAAATTTGTATTAACATTATAGTGTAAGAAAAAGCAATAATAGTTTCAGACCAGTTTGTGTCAACCTGAGGGGTCAAATAACAGCTCAACCACGGTTTGACTGCTGTTCTGTGTCATCATCTAAAATAAATAAATAAATAAGAGAAATAGAAAAATAAACATGATGTCTGCTGAAACTCGTGTTAATCTCCTTGTCCTTTAGTCCACGCCAGTTTCAGAGATTAGCTGCGTGTAGTCAAACACCTGAAAACGTCTGATTAGTATTGACTAAAGCACGTGTATCTCTCCGATCAAACCAGGAGCCTTCATTATTTCTGTTGGGATAAACACAAGCTCCCAGATTAAGATTAGATCTCGGTTACCTGTACGTGAACTTGACCGCCAGCACGAGCAGCACGCTGAGCACGACAGCCCCGCAGAGCAGATCCGGTCTCCGGGCCATCAGAAGCAGCACCTGCCGGAGACACTGCCGCACCCGGCGCAGCATTACCGCCTGCCGTCGGCTCTCAGACTCATTTATACCTCCGAGTGCGACTGAACGCGTCCATTTGTTTCACGCCGGAGGAGGAAAACTGGCTGGACCGGGGACGGAGCGGACCGGGATTGGACACCGGCGCTGCTCGTGTGTAAAGTGTTCAAACGCAGTCGAGCCAACCTTTCTTTCCCACGTAGACTTTTCACTTCCGCATCGGCGGCTTCGGGGAGCGTCTGTCAAAAGCAACACGCGGTGAAAAACGTACACGAAGTTTAACATCTTCACCTCGAATCACATTTAAAATATAATTTATAACTGTTTGTATTGCTGAAAAATATAAAAAAGTCTAATATAAATACTGATTACGTTTGGATTTAACTTTAGTGAGCGTGCTTGTTTCTGTTTGCGTTGGTAATTGTGTTAGCTATTTTACGACAGTCCTCTACATTGTTTTGACGAAAGCTGTTGCCGTCATCCTGAACTTTGAACACTAGGGGGCGATCGTTTTCCAAACTGAACATGCTGTAAATTTTTACAAGTATGCAAGAAAAACTTGTTTTTGCCTAAAAATACTTATAGCAGTACTCAATATAAAAAAATACATAAATAATTCCAGCAAATAGGAACTCAACCTCCAGCAACATAAACATTAAATTAAATAGTTTGCATTACTTAATGGCTGTTTAGATGCTTGTACTTTATAAATATTTTGTAGTATTTTTAACCACCACTGTTCATCAATAGAATATTTAGTTTTTGTACATTTTTAATGCTACAATGTATATAAACATATGACCATATTATGAATGATCCCCAAGATAATTAGGATATTGTGAATTCAAACTAGTTGTAATATAATATAATATACCAGTAATAATAATAATATATTGTGTAAAATATCTTGTACACTTTAGCATTCAAGGTTTTCAGATCTAATTGGGGAATCATCTCCACGGGATTTTCCAAGAGTAGTATTTATTTATTTATTTTATTAAGCAGATATTAATTAACCCTGACGTACTCAGTACTGGTAAAGATAAATATATATAGTTCAGGTATTTTCGTTGTACCCTTGTTTCGAAATAACTTGTCTTCCTAGTTTTTCCCTAGCTTCCAGAAGAGGGGAACTGCAAATGGAAGCGCGAGTCTGTGCGATGGAAACATCTTTAACCAGCTCTCTGTCACTCATTTGAGACATTCAGGTTACACACACAATAGATAATATTCATTAATCTTAAATAATGATTTATGAACCCCTATTGTTCACTGTAAGTTATTTTGTATTTCGGTAATGAAACTGCACTTTATAGGCAAACCATTAACATATGTAATATATTAAAAAACAACAACAAACACCTGTAAATAACTTGCTTAATACTGTATAACACAAGGATACTTTACAATCATGTCCTTAGCTGAATAACAGGAACAAAAAGGCCCTTTGGACAATTTCTATCTGTAAATTTTTGCAAATATTTGTTTAATCAACACCCCAGGTTGTTTGTTCATATAAGTGTTGTGTTCTTCTGTATACTCCATTCATTTGTTTGTTGTATACTTGTCATTTGCTTGAATAAAGATTTATTTAAAAAAAAAAAGAAGTAAATTATATATTTGAGTTGATCGAAGTGTGGTTTAATGTGTCAAGTTAGCATATTAGCATTGAAGCTAATGGCAGCATGTGTTAGCTTCATGTGTCATTTCAGCTCTTTCATGCTTGTACATTTTAGTTTTACTCTGACCAGCGGTGTGGTGAATAGTTAATCAAAAACTATTCATGCTTCATCATTGGGAAGTTGTCAACAGTCTAGCATCCAGAGAGGACAGAATAATTATGCACATGTATGTGTGTATGAATGAATGAACGGACGTTGTTCAGTTATTTTCTTTAGATCCTTTTTTTGTTTAATGGCAAACCATTTGCTAGTTTATTTTGCATCATAAGCTAGGTTTAATATGTAAACCAGAAGTCATGGCGTTTCCACTTCCTGTTTAGCGATGCACTGTGAGAACTTTAGAAGTCCCCTTCATAAAAACTTCAGCCAGATTTTTCTCCACTACAATGAATTTCAGCCTCACTTAAATCTTCCATATAAAATCCACAACTTGTCATTTTATTAGTTCTGATTAAATCTTTAAGCCATTTCCCACATTATAAGAACACAATAGAAAAAATATTTGCTTAAAAAACTTTATGCTGAAAGAGAACACATAACAGTGTCACAGTGTAGAATGTTTTAGTGCAAATAAACAATGTCCCAGGACAAAAAAAAGTGTTTGCCACGATGATTCAAACAAATCAAAACCGATGCAGCAGCAAAAATGTTTCTAAACAGTAAAAAATAAATGTGCAACAAAGCATATGTCAGCAGTTTAAGCCACTATAAACTATTTATTCCTAAATAAAATATTGAAACAATCTGAATTTTACATTTTATCAAATGTACAGTTGAGTTTTTTTTTTTGTTAGTGTGCTATCAAAATAATAAAACAAAAAATTTGGGGTACAATTTTCCTAAACAGGCGACAGATTCTTCAATATTTTCCAAATTATAATTTGCTTGCAGCTTTATAGCACTGAGATTAAAGTTGCACATACAGATACATACAGATTATGTGCCTAGAAGACATCTGATAACAAGTGAAAGAAAAATGAATTTAATTTCCAGTTGAAAAATTAATTTTTTTGCTGAATCGCAGCCATGTCAGTGCTACAAAGCAAGCTTAAGAAGCACATTTCTAACGTTTAGCCGTTATCTTCGTTTGCAGAACTGCAGCATCGTTGTTCATGAATATAATGGAGCATGAGATCACAGTGGTGACCGGTTCAGTCCAAGTCCGTAACATCACAGATATCAGAGTCCTGTCTTTGTCATATCGTTTCTCTTTTAACAGGTTGGTGCTTCTCGCTCCATATCCCACACATCCCAAGAAAAAGAGACAAGACTGGAAGAGAGGACAACTTTGTCCATCATCCAACAAAACCAGTTTCATCTGAGTTTACTGCTGAAAATAAACACTTCTCAGCATTTAGACTTCCGGATATTTAATCTGCTGTAAACTTTACAGCGTAATGTAGGCACCAACTCCATGCAATCTGTTACGGCGCTCATGTTTCAAAGTGCAATAACTGCTGCAACACCAAGTCAAAGTTGATAATGGGGCTGATGTAGAGAGCCCAGTTGAAGAGACAGTTGCACACAAACTGGGGGACAAAAGGCCACAGGAGGGCAAAGGCAAATCCCTGAAAGAGCATCTTGCACAAGTGGGTCCACATCTTTTGTGGCATAGTCCTGCAGAAAAGGGTCAAATTAGTGTCCTGTGTGTTACAATGTAGGAGCAGCTATTGTCAGACAGAAAGTACACAGCTTTCTCTCGTGCACACCTGATGTTGGCAATTGTCCTCCACAGAAAGAAGCCATCCAGCCCAGAGAGCAGCATGGTGTTAACAATGATGAAGCGGGACGTCCAGTAGTGGACAGCCAACCAGTCCCATGCAAACTCTGCTATGAGCTGGTACGGAAGCAAGCAGTACTTCACGAGAAACTCCGCCCACTGCTGCCAGCTGGGTTCCAACTAACAAAAATAGAAAAAAATAATAAAGTGAGCTCTTTGAACTAATTTAAACAGGCATTACTGAACAAGTAGTTAACAGCAAAAACATTTTCTTTAAAAATATAAACAATTCTTGAAAATAAATATAAACATTTTCTTTAAAAATATCAACCTTCTTGGCTACATCTACATACAGATCCCAATCCTGGCCTGTTCATTTTGGTGTTCCACAGGGCTCTGTTTTGGGGCCACTGCTGTTTCTGCTCTATATGCTCCGTCTTGGTCCGATGCTTTAATCTTTTAAGGATATCTCCTATCATTGTTATGCTGATGACATCCAGTTTATTTCTTTTCTTCCAAATTAACTTTCAAAACTACACATTTTACTAAACTGTTTGGATTCAATTATAAGCTGGATGACTGAAAGTTTTCTCCAGCTAAATAGAGAAAAAACTGAAGTAATCATCTTTGCTCCAGAAAAAAAAACTACTGCAATGATAAAGCAGATCCTTGGCCCTCTTGGTCCTTTTACTAAATCCTCGGTAAAAACCTCTGGATAACATTTGACTCAGATTTTACTCCAGAAGCTTGTGTAAAGTCTCCGGTTCGTTCCTGTTTCTACCATCTGTGAAATATTGCCAAGCTTAGCCATATTGTTTCTCGTCCAGAACTGGAAATATTAATTCATGCTTTTGTTTCGTCTCGCCTGGATCTTTGTAATGCGCCATACACTTGTTTAACCAAAACCTCCCTAGACCGGTTGCAGTCTGTACAGAATGCTGCTGCTAAACTCCTGACTGGCTCTTCAAAATTATGTCATAGATCTCCACTTCTAAAGCAACTCCATTGGCTCCCAGTTCATTATCGAGTGGATTTCAAGGTTTTGGTTTTGACATCAATATATATCTCAGAACTTTTACATCCCTACACCCCGATCAGGGCTTTGAGGTCCGGTGATCAAGACCTGCTGATTGTCCCCCAGACAAAACTGAAAACTAAAGGAGACAGATCCAAAAAAGGTCAATCTGGTCCTCTGGACATTCAAAAAAGCAAATAACAAAACAAAGCAAAAAAAATCTAGAAACGTTTCGTCTCTCATCCAAGAGACTTCCTCAGTCTGAGGAGCTGTATTCAGCTCAGTCTCTTAAATAGCACCTTCTCAGAGTGGATCAACCAGTTTGCTGCTGACAACCAAAACCAGCTGATCACATGCTCAAGAAGGACCATCAGCCTAACAATGGATCATTAGCACACTGATGGCTGTTTACTACTCACAGAGGGCTGAGTGATACTAGCAATCACAGCATTGTAAGAGGGGGACAATTGAACCCGGAGGCCTCCACCCCTGTTTAATGATGGACGATTTCTTTTCACAAAGATGGCCTCCTTTACTCCTCTCTCAAACCATCGTTCCTCTCTGTCCAGGATGTGAACATCTTCATCCTTGAAAGAGTGACCGCTGGCCTGGAGATGAGTGTAGACCGCAGAGTCCTGGCCTGATGATGTTGATCTTCTGTGCTGGGCCATCCTTTTGGCCAGTGGCTGTTTTGTTTCCCCGATGTAAGACTGATCACAGCCCTCCTGACACTGAACAGCATACACAACATTACTCTGTTTGTGCCGGGGGACTGGATCTTTGGGATGAACCAGTCTTTGCCGTAATGTATTTTGGGGTTTAAAA